TATCATTTAATTTATTACTTTTTATGGCTGGGTCAATATCAAATTGTCTTCCCTCTAAATAAAGTCCTACATGAGAAAAAGTTGTCTGATCATTTTAAAAAAATAGTATTCGAATTTTCTTGATTTCAGCACAAAAATATGCCACCACCATAATATAAGTTAGGGCCGACAAACTATTAAAAAATTAATTGCAAGATCAAGAAAAAAAATGGCAATTTTGATCTCAGTTAAACAATAGTCAACACCTCTCTAACCAACAGCCAAGAGCCCATACAGCTCCTCCCCCACCAACACCAACAGCACACAGCCTGAGCTCTGATCCCAGCCTGCCCTGCGCCTGCTCCGGACTCGCACTGGCCGGAGCAGACCAGCTGGAACCCATGCGAACAGCCTTCACCCAACCCACCTTGCGCCTCCTCCAGACTCACCTGCCCGCACTGAGCAGAAGTGGTAGCTGGGCTCCATGTGGGGGAAAAGCTGCCCCTTTCCCTCAGCGCTGCCAGGTCTTCTTGCTGCAGCTGCCTGGAGCCCACGCCCAGGCTGCCCAGTAGCTCGTCTGCACTGCCATTGCTGCCCCACTGGGTAGCCTTAAGGTGACGGTGATGGTGGCAGAGAGGAGCCCACAGGGCAGCCTGGGCATGGGCTCTGGGCAGCTGCAGCAAGAAGGGCTCAGCAACAGTGAGGGGCTGCTTTTTCCCTTGTGCCAAGCAGCCGCTTCTGCCCGGTCACCACTGCTTCTGAGAGAGGCTGTGTTCTGTACACCCCATGTCAAAATGGAGGTGTGCAATTAATACTCATTACAAAAATGAACGCATTAATCTGTTTTGCGGTAATCGCATATGTTAACTGCGATTAACTGACAGCCCTAACACATAATTGCTATTTTTTTGAAGATTAATAAATGGCTGTCAATATTCTGTACAGAGTATATCTGACACCTGTTTTATATTAAACATTTTAAAACAGACTGAATTTAGAAACTATTTGCATATTTCCCATTCTGCTCTGAACTGATTTTTTTGTTTTAAAAGGTTAAGATAAGCAGTTACTGAACCCACATTAGCATCTCCAAGAATACCATAGCCATGAATAAAGGTGAAATGAATTCAAGTCTTCAAAAAAGAAGCTTCTTCTGTTGAAGCTTCCCTCTCCCACAAGCATATTGTTATGCATAAGTTTATCTGTAACATCTCAGGCAGGGTTTTCATATAAAAAAAATATTCTAGAAAGCTGTAGCCATTGTAAAATATAATGTGTGGTCTAGCAAGCATTCTTTTGTCTTGCACCTTATTATTATATAGGCTGTGTCAGCAAGAAGGACAACCCTTCGAAAAGGATCATAACCATAATAATATTTAATAACTTCTTTGCCTCTGTCTTCCTCAGTAAGGACCAGAACTGCCACCTCCCTGCTGGGCCCCCTTTGGGCCCCGGGGGAGGCTAACCTGGGCCTAGAGTGAGTGAGGATTTAGTTAGGGAGCTTCTGGAGGGGCTGGACATTTTTAAGTCAGCCGGCCCAGATGATCTTCACCCTAGAGTCCTGAAGGAACTCGCTGGGGTCATTGCAAGTCCCCTGGCACGGCTTTATGAACACTCGTGGTGCTCTGGAGAGGTGCCGGAGGACTGGAAGAGGGCCAACGTGGTTCCCATCTTCAAAAAGGGAAGGAAAGAGGACCCGGGGAACTACAGGCCAGTCAGCCTTACCTCGATCCTGGGCAAGCTGTTCGAGAAAATTATTCTGGCACACATCCAGGAGGGGCCAGCAGGGAACTGCATGCTCAGGGGCAACCAGCACGGGTTCATCAGCGGCAGGTCCTGTCAGACCAACCTGGTGGCCTTTTACGACCAGGTCACTAAATCATTGGATGCAGGGGTGGCAGTGGATATAGTTTTCCTAGACTTCAGGAAGGCTTTTGATACTGTCTCTCACCCCATTCTCATTAGGAAGCTGGGGGACTGTGGCGTAGACACCCATACAGTCCAATGGGTCGCCAACTGGTTAGAGAGTCGCACCCAGAGGGTGGTAGTGGATGGGTCCTTCTCGACCTGGAAGGACGTGGGAAGTGGGGTCCCACAGGGCTCGGTCCTTGGGCCCGCCCTGTTCAACATCTTCATCAGTGATTTGGATGAGGGGGTGCAAAGCACCCTGTTCAAGTTTGCTGATGACACTAAGATGTGGGGGGATGTGGGCACAATAGAGGGGAGCAACAGGCTACAGTTGGACCTAGATAGGTTACAAGGATGGGCGGAGGAGAACAGGATGGGGTTTAACACAGACAAGTGTAAGGTGATGCACCTGGGGAGGAACAATCGGCACCATACATACAGGCTGGGGAACTCCCCTCTTGTCAGCACGGAGGTGGAAAAGGATCTGGGAGTCATTATTGACTCCAAGATGAACATGAGTCGGCAATGTGGGGAGGCGGCTAGGAAGGCCAACTGCACCTTGTCGTGCATCCACAGATGCATCTCGAGCAGGTCCAAGGAGGTGATCCTCCCCCTCTATGCGGCACTGGTCAGGCCGCAGCTGGAGTACTGCGTCCAGTTCTGGGCGCCGCACTTTAAGAGGGATGTGGACAGCATCGAGAGGGTCCAGAGGAGGGCCACTCGTATGATCAAGGGACAGCAGGGTAGGTCCTATGAGGAAAGGTTGCGGGACCTGAACCTGTTCAGCCTTCAAAAGAGAAGGCTGAGGGGGGATCTTGTGGCCTGTTATAAACTGGTTAGGGGGGATCAGCAGGCGCTGGGGGAGTCCCTGTTCCCCCGAGCGCCGCAAGGAGTGACCAGGAACAATGGTCACAAGCTGGCGGAGGGAAGGTTTAAGTTGGACATCAGGAGGCGCTACTTCACGGTCAGGGCGGCTAGGGTCTGGAACCAGCTTCCAAGTGAGGTGGTGCAGGCTCCCACCCTGGGGGTTTTTAAGAGGAGGTTGGATGACCACCTTACTGGGGTCATTTGACCCCAGTACTCTTTCCTGCCATGGCAGGGGGTCGGACTAGATGATCTGCTCAGGTCCCTTCCGACCCTAGAAACTATGAAACTATAAAGTCTGTCGAAAATCAATTCAGTATTTTCCCAATTTAAAACTATGTCCCACACAGCTTCCTTTCCTAGAACTGCTGCCAGATCTTGAAGGTTTCCCTTTCTCTACCAAAACTGATGAGGGACAAGACAACAACATTGTTTTTCCTCACAATTGCTGGCGCTTCACTACAGATTTGGGGGGTGGGGGACAGGGGGTGGAGGGCATGCATCCTTACATGTGTGGGAAGTGGTTTCATTCTTTCAAATACAAGGAGTCAGTTTGGTTGGCTTCACAGGGCACTTTTACACATGCTCTGGGGTGGTGGAGGGGTGCACTTTAAGTTAGAATGGCTCCGAGAGCTGTTTTAATTAAAGCGCTGCCATGACTCCTGCATCAGCTTCCCCATGTCCCCATGCTTAAAAATGGCAGCTGGAGTTCTTGAACTAAAGCTTGCTCTGCGAGTTTCAGTTCAAGCATCCCCTCCACCATTTTTAAGCATGAAGGTGCTGATGCATAAGACGCAGGAAGCTGCTATCAAGTCTGCTCCGACATGCTGGAATTCCAGCATGTCGGAGCAGTCTCCACACTCAGTTTCCTTATTATTCTGGGTAGCTAATTTTGGACATTATTCCTTTTTTCCCTGTAATTCGTCAGTTTGCTTTCCCCTGCTGAAAGGAGGTGTTGGTGTGTATCCTTGTCGGGTTATTATTTTTTAAAATTATTTATTTTAAATTCTTGCTTTTATAATGCTTTTACAAAGCAAACAGAAAAACCCAGATTGGGGCTAATGTACTAAAGTTGCTAGAATTTAACCACTAATGGCTTTCAAGACCAGGCCCAAGACCTTAAATTGGGTGCAGAAGTGTCCGGGACCTTGTCTACCTTCTGGCCCACACTGCCAGAGTGAATGCACAATCATGCCCCTTTGGCAACTCCACTCAGCTGAGCTGCCTAGTATGAAGAGCACTTCAGGAAGGCACCAGCTCATGAAGAGACCACCCTCAACTAGCAATGGAGCAGAATCTGCGTGGGGGCAGAAGCCTCAATTTTCAGTAGCTGGTACTTTCACATTATTTTTGTATCAGCCTCACATACAGAGATTTATAACAATATATTTTGGAGATAACAAAATCCCTGCACCAAAGCCAGCTTCCATTCTTCCCTTTTTTGGGTCACTGATCAGTCGCCTAGCCTTAGCTAGTTGTACACTGCTGCCAAAATAAGTATTGATATTTTGATCAGTTTCCAAAGCCAAAAGACTGTTTCATCATTTTCTCCCATTTCAATTCATTTTTAGAGATTTTATCAGCAACATTATCAAAACAGCAGAGGCATAACTGGGAAGTTCCACGGTCTGGGGAGCAGTTCTGCACAGAGCAATGCTGGCTGCTAGCAGCAGTGTGTATGACTCTCAGTTGCAATGGAAGCTATTTTCTCACCTCATCTGCCAGTGACTGCACCTGAGGCCGCTGTCTCAAGAGCTCCTCACCCTCTCAGTTATGCTACTGCAAAACAGTTAACTCGAACTATGAGCACACAAAAGCAATCACACCTGGGAAATGTATTAAATGGTTCTGAGTTGTTATTTTTTTTGTAAATCATCCATTCTTACCCATTCTACTGTTGTAAAAGCATAGCAGAGACATACTAGAGATACATACATGATGAAACTACTCCTACAAAGAGTAACATTTTGGCTAGGGACAGACATTACATAAACTGGTTTAAGTGATCAGAAACTGGTTTAAACTTGTAACAGAACAGACATTCAGTGCACATAAACCAGTTTCAAAATGGCTGAAACTGGTGGAAGATAAACCTGGTTGAATCAGGCTTAACTGATTTGGCTCAAACCAGTTCTTGCAAATGTCTGTCCCAGACCCCTTCCTGGTTTAGAGTTAAACCAGACTCTCCCAGCATCTCGGCACGCTCTCTGGGCTGGGCTCTCCAGCCTAAACAAGAACAGGCAGGAGTGATGGTCTGGCCAGGGAGGGGTTTAATTCCCCCACTCTCTCTCACCAGCAGAGACCTGAGCCAGGTCTGCCAGGTGCTCCCCTCTCGCTGCTGCACCATGGCCCCTGAGGCAGAGGGGCAGGGAGGAGAGTTAGTTTCCCCTCTACCCCGACTGGCAGCCAGGTCTGCCTGCCATCTCCACCGCATTCGCTCTCTGGTGCAGAACAGGCCCCTGCTGTCCTCTCTGCCAGACCCTGGAGAAATAACCCCCGTCCCTGCCCCCCACCCCAGGGGCCCTGTCTGGCCATGCCCTCGCACCACTACTACAGCACGAGTGGTTAGGGCCCTTGTTGCCAGCAGTATCCCCTGTCAAATGTCAGGGAGCGCAAGCCCCTTACTAGTGGGGACACTACACTGCGAGCCAGCAGAGTTGCAGCAGGCTGCATGTGCTGCCTCTGAGAAGAGGCTCATGCTTACAGAACGGGGATGGGGGCTGCTGCCCCAGTCACAGTAGCTCCTGCCTCACTGCTTCAGTGGATGGGTGGGAGTGGGGCAGACCCAGGTACTGCCTGCAGGACCTCTGGAGGGAGGAGAGGAGGGCAGGGAATGGGGTTCCCTGCTTTGCCCTGGGGCACCGCAGCCGGATCTGCCTGGCCCAGCCACAGCCGCTTCTCCATCGGCACTCAGGGCAGTGTCCAGTGGAATAAGCACCCTTCTGCCAGGAGGGGGCTGGCGCCAAGTGCAGACCATGTGGCAGCTGCAGACAAAGCAGCATTAGTCTGTGCTCAGGGCCAGCCTCCTCCCAGCAGGAGGGGGCTAATTCTGCCAGACACTGCCCTGAGCAGTGGTTGCAGCTGGGCCAGGCAGACCCAGCTGCGGTGCTCTGGAGGCAGAGTGAAGAACCCCACTCCCTGACCTCCCAAAGGCCCTGCAGGAAGTGTCTGACCTCGTCCCTGCCCAGCTGCTGTAGTGGTGAGGGGGGGAGCTACTGTGACTGGGGTAGCAGCCCCCGTCCCTGTTTCCCCAAAAGCAAGCCTCTTCCTGGCAAGGGCCGTGCTGCTGGGCTGGGGCGAGAACTGCTGCTGAGCACGGTAGCACAGAGGGCTTACAGGGCTCTGGCCCTCCAGATGCCAGTGCTGCCATACACAGCCTGCCGCAGCTCTGCCAGCCAGCTCCCCAACATTATGATAGGGGCTGCTGCCCCCAACAAGGGCCCTGCCTCCTCCCGCTGCAGTGGCAGGGTGAAGGCATGGCCAAACAGGGTCCCTGAGGGTGGGGACAAGGACAGGGGTTACTCCTCCTCCATCTGGCATCTGGCAGAGGGAACAGCAGGGGCCTACTCCGTGGCAGGGAGCGAGCATAGCAGCGACAGCGGGCTGACCCAGTTACCAGTGGAGGTAGAGGAAAAACTACCTCTCCTCCCTGCCCGCCTCTGCCTCAGGGACTATGGTGCAGCAGCGAGGGGGGAAACACTCAGCAGACCCACCTTGGGTTTCTGTTGGTGGGATAAAGGGGGGAATTAAACCCCTCTGTGGCCAGTTTAGCCCAGACTGGCCATGCCCCCCATCATAGCTTCCCTTCAGCCAAGGACTCTCTCTAGTGCCCCCGGGCACCTGGCCTCAGCAACTGCAGGCATGTGCCTGCATTTCCTCCGTCCAGAGAGAATGGTTGTCCTGTTACAAACTGGTTCAGGCTAGGCAGGTTAGATTAACCTGCAAAGGTTGAATCAATTCAGGCTCTAGCTTTGTGAATGTCTGCCCCTTTATGCTGCACTGTGAAGGCAGTAAGAATTAAAATCAACTAACTGAAAATTAGTGATTTTTCTTGCTCGGAAAATGTAATTTTGGGGATTGCTCCTGATTCTACTGACACCATTTCAACCTCAATTTTTTAACACTTTTGTATCAATACTATTTGAAAATCAAAAGATAGGAGGTTTAGTGTAAGGCATGCAGACCTACTTTTTTGTGTCAATTATGCAGTGCAATTCTCAGCCTGAACACTATTAAATCATGCCCAAAGATACTCAACAGTGAATTACGGCACATAAAATATAAGCAATAGTTTTAAAAGAGGAGTTTTTTTAGAAAGTCAAGCAACAGAATCTGAATATGGTCCCTACCATTCAGTGTTTTATTGGCCTAAAATCAGTCAGTAGTAAAAAAAGTAAAATAGCAGTTGGCCAAAGTAGTTCTGAGTATACATGAACAAGTACATAAAAAGTCAGGGAGGTGCACTTAAAAATATAAGTTTCTAAAAAAACAAGGATAAAATATATCTTCAGATAGATATTTTATCCACTATCTACACTTACATTATGTAAGTAATTCTTACTGCATTCCTCTTACAGAAGGAACAACTGTTTGCGCAGCGGAAGAATGAGTAGAGCACTTTGTTTTATTAATGAATGAATTCTGACTTTAGTGACCTCAACTTCTAACGTAGGGTCCCTCTCCTTCAAAAGTCAAGGAACTGTAAAGGGAAAACATGGACCCTAAAGCCAACACCACAGCATTTAAACATTATTTCACTCAGCGTGCATTTGCTCTGTACATACTTTTTAGTCACTGTGCTTTCTAACCTGAGGACCAGATTATTTATCTGACTTCAAAGACAACAATGACTCTACCTGGCAGTTATCAAAATGAATGGCCACTACAAGATTTCCACCATAAAGCTTATCTTGGAAGTTTTCTGGGATAGAAGGTTCTTGTTCTGGGGGATAAGTGTGCTTTAACCAGTCCATCCAAGACAGGCTAACAAGTGACTGATTCTTCTCTTCACTGATTCGTCGCATTTTTGTACGGAATTCTTTCACTTCAGGGTCTGGTAAGGCATCAAATTCATGAAGGCCTGAAAGAGTCAGTCAAACAACAGGTATTTAGTGCATAACCACTGCTTGTTTATTCACAAGTATATATACAGCACATATGCAAGGTGGTAAGAAATTCATTTGAGCAACATTAACATATTTTAAAAAAGCAGTGGTCAAAGGCTATTTTACGGCTGCCCAACCTGTGGCCTGCTGGCTGCGTGTGAGCAACGAGGGCTTAAGTTGCAGCCCTGGGGCTCCTGCTGGACTGCTGCTCCCCAAACTGCTCCAGCTGCAACCACTGCCAGAGTCTCCAGGCTCCCCCTTCCTCCTCTAGTCTTCCCTATCTGCCCAGGAAGAGGGGCAGTGCAGTGCACCACAGCTGGGAACAGAGGGTGAGCCTGGGACCATGCGAGTGGGAGTGCGTAAAAACACCTGTGCAGGTGCACTGGGGGGAAAGGCTACATGGCCCCTGGGCATGAAGCCCCCACTGATGCAGCCTGTGGGACACTTGGCCTCTGGACTGCTTAGAAGTTGGACAGCCTTGTGCTACGTGAAAAACCAGTCAACTTGAGGTCATAAACCTTCTCACCCAAAATTGCTGGTGGACAGCAAGTTGAATTTGATTCTAAAGTTTGTAGCAACAACATTTTTAAATAACTTCTCAAAGAGAGAATTTTAATCTGGGTTAAATACATGGTTCAACATAAAAAGTTAAGAACCTCTCCTGTGTCACTATTAAAAGGAAAGCTGCCCCTTTTCTGACCCCAGAAAGATGTCATAAAGATAAAAAGAGCATAAGCTTTAATCATCATCTTCCTCTTGTATCAGGAAATAGATATAGTCAAGTGGGACAGCTAGACATCAGAAAAGCTTGTAGGCCACCAATTTCCCCCTCAAAGATGAAGACAAGCATTTCAGAAGAGGCAGTAGAAGATTGACAGTTTGCAAGAAGGTGCTGTGTTAGCAAATGGAAAGTTTTCCCTGGATAGTGACTTGTAATTTTTAATTATAAATCTGATACCCTCAAAAAACTAAAAAGGCTAAAAATTCCCCACAAACCAAACTTGCTTGTGTGCCTTTCTAAAAGTTATGTAAACTGCTTTGCCTGAAGCAAAAGAGTATGAAAGTGTCACATTTCTTTTGTACTTAGAAGAACATTGTCCAAGCTTTGCTAAAGCACCCGTTGAAATCCACTTCAGCCTTACAAGCTAAAAAATACTGGAATGCATCAATTTTATACTGTGAGCAGACATAATAGGAACTGAAGACTAGCTCTGTAGTCACAGGCTTGCAGAGCCACAAAAACTGAATTATTCAGTCACAGAAATCTTTCAGAGTACTAAGGTTGAAACAGTTAAACTGGCTAAGTCAGCAACAGTTCCATTGTCAGTTTGAACAAATATCAGACAGTTTGTTGCTGAAACCTAGACAGAACTTGCAGTCTTTATAAAAGAGCTAACAATTGTTCATTGTTCTGATGTGTGACGTATGACCTCATTAGTCGCTCTTTGTCTTCATTTACATAGCCAAGAGAACAATCTGACAGCATACTTGAAAATTGTGTATTAAAAAGCCCAAGAGCAATTGATTGTTAAGTCTCTACAAAACAGCTTAATAGTTTTTCCTTATATGATGAATTATATAGAAAAAACTATTTAAAAAAACTATGCAGTGCAACTATTTAAAAAAAACAACACAAAAGTTCACTGAATAAGAAAGGGAAAAATATACAAAGTAGAAACTGGTTTCTACACTCTTATAAAACCCTAATCACTATTCATCGTTCGGTCACAACAGCCTTCAGAATATTGTACTTTACTCCTATCGCTAATAAGATTATACACTACACTCTTCTGTTACTTAACATGATAACTGGCCTTTGAAACGTATCAAAAGCACACTGCACTGCCATATGATAAACTGAAATCTCAGTCTCCCTAAGAGAGATTCCTATTTAGATTCAAGAGCAGCCTCCAGCTTTACTTAAGCCCTCCAATTAGCTCTGAAGGGGGAAGGGAGGATTGCAGTAGTTGAGCTACTCAAGACAACAAAAACTTATTTGCTATTTAGATCATTGACCTAGTGTTGCAGGCAGATGTCAATGTAATGTAAAATCTGTTAGTGCAAGGATGAAGAATTAAAAACAAATCTTAGAGCAAAAAAACTTATTTGCCTGTAGTTTTTGCCCAAATATCTCACATAAACCTTGTGTGAAAAGGAACGGAACTACCTCTACCTCAAAACTTTATGATAGTCTGAGGCAGCAGTAGTTTGATATGAATCCTATCTTACTAATCATGACTGGGAAGGACCACTAATAGATATCAGCTTTTAAACTTCAGATCAGCTCTTGATGCTGGCCAGGAAGTGGGTTGTGATCTTTATGACCACCACCCATTCTATACTTCATTTCTTCATTTTTTAAAGCACTTCTGCAGATGCCTTCTTGCCTGACTGGCCAAGAAGAATCTGTCTGCAAAGCTGCAGTACCAGCATTTAGCGAGATAGAAGCAGTGGCGGGTAGGGAGCTTCCACAGTTTCGGGGGGGGGGGGGGGG